TTTGTCTTTTGACCTTGTCACTGCAGAGGAAGTTACAAAACGTTTCTATCACCCGCCTCACTACTTGCCCCCCTGGACCCCGTTTCCTCGCCCCTTCAGCCACCCTCTTGCTCTATTCTACACTCTCTTATTCACATTTTCAATCTTTCCCTCTCTACTGGCATCTTTCCCTCCCCTCTAAATCATGCACTGGTCACCCCAATACGCATAAACCCTCACTGAACCCCAATTCCAGCTCCACACCAATGACACTCAAATACAGACATTCCTCGGTTACCGACTTACCTGCTTTGCGACCACTCGTACTTACGACAGACCGCCAAGCGACCTACGACCTCGCGTGTCAGCGTCAGTGCGATGTGTCGCCGGCGGAAGCGACATCCTCCGATCTTCACTGCGGGTCCCGATAAGTATTTTCAGTGCACGATGTACAGTACACTGTTCGGTACTGTACTAATGCAGTACAGTACTGTATAGAGTTCCTCACTTAACGACCAATTCGTTTAACAGAATACCTGTATATCTCTCCACAACGCACCCCCTCAGTGTCCTTGTGTGTCACTAATATACTGACATATCTGTCTGCATGTCACAACACTTCTTAAAACTCGATCTCTCTAAAACTGAGCCCATGATATTTCCACTTAATAATATAAGTTTGTATGGACCCTGAAAAGAAGTGCCAAAATCTCTGGGTAGGGTAAAGGACTAGTAGGATCAAAATGCCTAAAAATGTTGCATTACAATAAATACCACCCTGGGTCATCAATTCTGCCTAGACAAAAAGGATGCCGGAATATTTCCCTTGTCCCCTTTTCTGGCAACAACCCGTAATCAGAGTGGAAAGATGAAAAAAGTATTGGCTTTAACTTATGAGGCATGAGAGTATGACAATGTCACGTGTTCTTATCTTTATAATGCTTGGACTGAGAATAAGAGCATACTATGCATTTCAGTGTATTTTCGGTATAATTGCTGGGCAAGCACTGTGGATTGACACACTTTTGATACATGCTGACTTTATCTGGCTATTTCGCTGAATATGTTCCCTTAAAAATACATAATGTGCACACATTACCATAGTCCTGCATGTCCTAACTACATAAAAAATAGATAAAAACTTAAATTTGGTACCTTCATCTCTCAGGACAGTGATAACATGCACAGAACATATGTTTTCTTTTGAAACTAATAGCACATATGTTAAAAATAACCTTCCAAGTGAAGTTAAAGCTGTGCTCTAGGCCTATATAACAGGCAAATAATACCGCTCTGTAATCATTTACACAGCATTAATTGTATTTTTAAATGAAAGCAGTGTACATACCTGAATTTGATCTTGTATGTGCCTCCTGAATGTTTTATCCTGTTAGTATTGGCTGGAGTTCTGCCTTAGCGCATGGCAAAGGTGTGGCAAACACACTGCACAACAAACTGAAATTCATGTCACCCACTAGCCTTTTCCTGACAGTGACTTCAGGCTTAGAATTGTCTCTAAAACATTAGTGAATATGTGACCAGATCAGGAATTTTTTCACTGACTTCCTATGTCACTAGTGTCATGATACAGAGATAAGCTCTGTATGGAATTTTTATGGTATAATTTAACTGAATAAAAACATCACAGGCACAAAACGCTCTACGCAATATTGCCTTAAGGCTAGGACCACACAAGAGCTTCTGATGCCTGCAAATTCTCTCCCAAAAAGCATTGCATGTCTGATGGGATAAAAGCATTTCCCACTAAATTCCCCACTGATCTGATGAAGGGTTATACATTTAGTGAAGTCTTGTCACTCTGACTAAACTTAAATTCAGTCAAGCAGCAAATAACATAATAGAAACAACATATTTTTTAACTGTTGTTTCCTGGTAAAGGTTTTGTAATTCTGTACAGCCACTCTTGTGACCCAGGCACCCCAAACAGGCACATGTAGGTCCTTAATCTCTACTACAGCAGCAGCAGCACAGCCTGGTTAATAAAACACCTCCAGCCTACTGGCTTTACAATAAAGTAGCAACAGCATTTTGAAGAGTCATCATTTAGTTTAATCTGATACACCGGGTAACTGTAGGCCAGTCAGCTTAACGTCAATTGTAGGGAAACGATTAGAAGGTATGAAAAGGGATTACATGCAGGAATTTGCAAACTGGTATCAAAAGTAGTAACCAACATGGTTTCATGAAGGGCCATTCTTGTCAGACCAATCTATTAACATTTTATGAGGAAGTCAGCATTAATTTGGACAGAGAAAAAGCAGTAGATGTGGTGTATCTGGACTTTGCTAAAGCATTCAACACAGTACCCCACAAACGTTTAGCTCATAAACTAAGGTCTATCGGTTTGGATGAAATTGTATGTACATGGGTGGAAAATTGGCTGCAAGAACGGATCCAGAGGGTAGTAATAAATTAGTTATTTTCTAATTGGGCAAAGGTTGTGAATGGGATGCACCAGGGTTCAGTCCTGGCACCGATCCTGTTCATCTTTTTCATCAATGTCATAGAGAATGGAATAAATAGTTTGATTTGGTTTTTTTTACGGACGATACTAAGCTGTGTAGGGCAGTTAATTCCGAACGGGAGATATTTAACAAGACCCAGTAAAAATTGCAGCATGGACTACAAGATGGCAAGCGCTATTTAATGTTGAAAAATGTATGGTTATACACATAAGAACAAAGAATGTGTGCACAAACTACTACTTGGGGGTGCTACAGGGTAAGTCGGATGCTAGTGAAGTCGGACTTAGAAAAGGACCTGGGGTGCTCATAGATCACAGATTTGGCAATTGTAAGCAATGCCAAGCACCAGCCAGCAAAGCAAACAAGATACTGGCGTGTGTCAAAAGATTGATTGTAGCAAGGGATAAAAGAGTAATATTTCCACTTTATAAATTACTGGTTTGGCCTCATATTAAGTATGTGGTGCAGTTCTGGTCGCCAACTCTCTGGAAAGATGTCCTTAAGATGTCCTTAAGCTGGAGAGAGTTCAGCGAAGGGCTACAAAATTAATGAAAGTAATAGAAAGTCTGAGCTATGAAGACCGCCTTCAAAATGTAAACTTATTTACCTTAGAAAAGAGGCGATTAAGAGGGGACATTATTGCAGTCTTCAAAATCATCAATGGGGAACAAACTGTTTAATCCAAAAACTGTATTGAGAACACAGGGACACAACAAGAGGATAGTAGAAAGTGGCTTTATTCAACCTTACAAACTTTGTTACTATGTTATGATACTGCAGAGGTCTTCATAAGATTAAATGGTACAGCAGCCCCAGTCAGGAATATTTTAGGAAGTAGCTGTGCAGCAATATCTCCTTGGATTGAAGACAGGTAAGTATAAGACTAGGAGGAGGGGCTGGGGGTATAGAACTTACCCAAAAGGGCAAAATAAAAAAGTAAAAATGATGTGACATAAAAGCAATAACTCATAAATACTATAAAGGTCAAGGCCAAACTCCAATAATGTTTTAAAACATTGTCAGCAATTGAGATTGTGCTGCATTTCATGTCAGGAGAGCAGTTTGAAGCAGCGAATACTAATGTAATGGTGTGGCAAGAGTCTGACCTGTTGCTACAATAAGTTGCTGCTTAGCATCAAATCGCCAACAACTATATGGATTATGTAGCTAGCTAAAAATTGGCAGTTTGGAGCAACAGATTAATTGCTTCTATAATATCACCAGTCTGACATTGTCCTTATTAAAACCTAAAAGAGGCGCCAACTCTTCCGCCGGTAACCAAAACTAAATTAAATATATTGGCTGAAGTTGGGCATTTAAATCAAATTGGTTAAGAGATCATTGCTGGCTGATTGTTTAATCTATTGATTGACAGATTGATTTGTGTTATTGTACTAAGCACATCATCACTGCTCTTTGCACAGTCTTTTGGTCTATTAAAAAGGCATGTCCATGTAAATTATTTTCTGTAGTGTTTACCCTATTCTATATCTTCTATATATTTTCACGTGATTTTTGCTTTTATTTTTTTAGGGACAAACAGAACAAAAGAATTAACTGAGAATATTCAAGTGTTGGACTAGCAGGAGACAATGTCAAGTTTGTGATGCCTCCAAACCAATCTATTCTCTCCTGGTGTTTTCCACCTTTCATGAGTGGCAAAGTCTAAAAAAAAGTTGGAAAATTCCTCACATCTCAAACATGCGCTGTGCAGTCAACTATACGTGACTAGGTTACACACTAATAATTTGAAAAATACATTACATTTATAAGCCATTTTAGTCACAGGCATTGGTTTATTCCAAATTCTACTCCTTCAGTAATTATTATTACTGTTTTGTACAAATGATTACATGCCAAACTCAAATATTGATTCATCCTCCACTCAAAAAGCACAACACTTTCTAGTCACACACTGGCCACAAGAGCCAAATGGTTTTAGGAAATGGAGAGGTAAGCAGGCAAGATAAATCTATACAAGCGATCTGCATGTGAAGTTTTCACAGTAGAGAAATAGTGTCTTAGAAAACATGTGTTAGACATATGTTACATGTGTGTTAGTTTAACATCTGGCTAGGGAACATATGTTAGGAATCCACCGAGGGCTGTAACATCCCATCTACAACAGGCAAGAATTTTTATCCTACAGCTCCTGCACTACGCTCACACATTAAGCTGCTAGTATGGTTTCAGGCCTAGAAAAAAGCTAAGAAAATGTAGAAAATAGAGAGGAGATGTATAACTAAGTGCATGACAGACTTTGGACAGTACCAATACAATCTAATCTGCATCTCCATAATAAATTTAAAAAAAAATAAGTCCAAGAGAAGACAGGAAACCAGACACTTTTCAATAATATGGAGGTTGTAAACAAATGTATTCATGCATACCAAGAAAATATATACAAACTTATTAGACAGGCCATTGATATTCTATAAGAATACGTTTTTTTCCCCTGTTTTTTCCAATTTTCTGCACCTGCCTGCACCATTGATCAATTCTTGCATCAGGAAGATCTGGGAGTTGTGAGCCAAGATGCAATGCTTGGAGATACCATTTTTGACTTTGTTCCTCTTATCCTGTTGGGGAAGACCGCATAAAGAAGATTATATTCTTCAGCGCAAACAAGAATTAGTACTGAAAGCTGAACATCAGAGGTTACTTTCAACAAAAGAGCCCTGTAGACTCAATCCAGATAAAAGAACTGTAGTGGGCTCCTATCATCCACCTAAAGAAGACTACACATCACAAGAGCAACAGTACATAGAAGATTTGGAATGCATGAAACATGGATGCAGTGTAGAAATACAAAAGAAAGACAAAACCAATGATAATAAAAGGGGCACAAAAGTTAAATTAGGGAGCAACGATTACTGGAATACAATATACAATAAAAAACATCTCAGACATATCTCAAAAATATTCAGCAAAAAGTCCCTCAGAAGGAACCCTAGAGCAGTAAAAGAACGGAATGTGCCACGGAAGGAAAATAGAAGATACCCCAGGGAATCTGAGTTAAATTCACAGAGATTTTTCTCAAATTCCTCAGTATCCTTTGTACTGCATCAGAAGAATCCCATTGATGGGGCCCTCTACTTTCATAGTGCACACAGTCAACTGGTTTTAAATCCAGAAGCTGATCAGAAAATACCTCAAGAAACTTTCACTGTAGAACTGTGGGTGAAGCCAGAGGGAGGCCAAAATGATCCAGCAGTCATAACAAGTAAGAATTCTTGTATTATTGTTTATTCTTTTTTATAGGCTTGATTAATTTCATAGGTGTCATTCGCTAAAGTATGAGATGTACCCTGCCTAACATGCCAATGCCAATTGGTTAATATGATTTCAAAACATAGCGTAACACAGGACGTATATTAATGCAGAATTCTACTGCCGTTTTAGAGTAATCCTTTAGAGCCAGCAAAACACATTTGGAAAGGGAGGTAACAGAGTCCACTGAGAATAATACAAATATATAAAATGTTAGTTACCAGCTCTAATTTTTTTAGGCATATTGGCTACTTGTCTTCTAGATTTTTTTGCAGAGAAACAAATTAAGAAATTAACCTTGTAACCAACATTTATGAACTCTAACCCTGCAATTTGCCACCTAATTTAATACAATTTAACATTAAGGCAACATTTTCTAAATTGTAGGGCATGTACCATTGGTTGCCCTTTTTGTCACAATGCTCAGAACTCCGTGTGGCTGAGGGTTTAAGTGCATAATCACTTCACTACAAAATATGCTCTCAAGTGGTGGCTCCATTACGGGGCACTTAAAAGAAGCATGTTGATTTAACAAGTGGCTTAAAAATGTCTGCTTTTATGGGCATCAATCAACATTTACTGGATACTGGCATTGTTAGCGAGTGGCATAAACAGCAATTTTAACAGTACCAGTGGCACTTGGATACAAAGTTTGTGAAACACTTAAAGTGACTCTGTTTCTTTTTGTTAATTTCAACAAGTGTTTATTGTTTTTTACACATAAGTACATATGACAAAGCTGAATACACTCATACACTAAGAGCGTATATCACAACAATCAAATCTCTTTCTCATTTAAATGTCGCTCAGAACCCATAGAGCAGATGAAAAGATTGTCTTTGGAGCGATATGGGGTATAGGTTACCTCAGTGGTGAAGCGAAATCATGAGATACCAAAGTATAACCCTACACTACTCCCTAACGGACTATGCTCCCCTTGGATCTGTAGCGTCGCTCGGGAAATCTGGAGACGGAGCTCTGAAGTTAAGCGGCCATCTTCTTCAGCGGCTAGCCACGCCCCCCCAAAGTGACTCTGTTTCTAAACCAAAGAAATTAAATGGCCTGTAGCCTGTACGTGTGACACTGCAGCTGCCACACGTCGGCTCTATTGATCAAGAACTGAGTAATCACATACTGCTGATCACTCCATCCCCAATCTTCACGTAAGGGGCGGGGTGTAGCAGGGGCTTGGCAGCTAGGGGGAGGGCCATGGCGGGGGCAAGAAAATGTTTGCCCAATCGATATTAAAGACGGCCCTGACTACTGTGCTGCTTACTGTTCTCTTTGCTGGAAAGGAAGCTATTTCTGAGGACCTCTCTGCTTCTGCTTTCTTCATTTTCATAATTTTTATGTTATTAAATTATTGTAAGCTGTAGTTCTACTCTAATGGAATTGGAAAATAGAATTCCCAGCAATCCCACAAATCCAATAGGGGGGTAAATGGGATAGTACCTGCTATACTCAAAGAGCAGAGAGCAGATCTATTAAGCATTCCACGATGTGGATGTTAGGTGGGCAAGAAGCTCTAGAGTGGACAAAATAATCAGGGAAAAGCAGCAGGAAGCTGATGTTTAATGTTCGTAAGCCCCTCTTGAAGAGACAAGTCTTAGGAGAGATAAGCACACCAAGGCGTGCACTGATCCTAATATCAATAGACTCAATTGCAAAAAAGGAGAGCGAGTAGGAAAAGGAGTAGTATACCCCAAGACAGACTCCAGGCAGCGCAGGAGGACAAAAGTCCTAGGGTTTGAGGGGCATAAATAATCCAGGATTATGTACACTGGGGTACAGAAATTCCAAACAAAATAAGAAAAGCAAAATAACCAGTTACCTGATTACAGAGTCTAATTAAAAGCAACAGGTTGAAGCCTGAGCATTCAAACTGAAAAGAAGAAACATGTAAGATACCCAATAAAATGAGGAAACAATAACCCATTGGTAAAAGTGGGAGTACATTTCTAAATGGTGGTTATGTGTTTAGATGAAGCACTGCAAGCTTGTTGTTTTTCCAACTCCCCTTCTCAACACCATATGCGTTGCTATATGACATTTAGCTTCTCTCAAAGAAAACTGTGACGATCCTTTGGCAATGTCTTGGCGAGTGTGTCTGCAGTCTTCTGATGAGCAATATTGAATGTCAATAATGGCTTGCTCTTTATTGTCCAGGTTTTATTTTCTTGGAGGGATTTTATTTCTTTTTCTGCTGCCTTTCTCCATTGATTGGCTTTGCGTTTTGGTAATTTTTCTGTTTCTTCCCATGATGTTGGTTTGAGTATGCTATGTGTCTTAGCAGTCTATGACAGCTTGCAGGGAGGTATTCCCATGGCTGCCCGAGTGGATCTTGAAATTTTAGGTTGTTCAGCAGAATTTAATATGTAATTTGACTTATCCATTGTGCTGATTCCTGTGCAGCTTCACTTTGCTCAGTTTCCTTTACTGGTTCACTGGGCATATTCACTTCACAACTTCCCGGGATCATTGTTTCTGGCGATGGGTTCTCATCGAAATAAACACTGCGACTTTGTCACGTTGTCAGTCTTTGGGTAGAGAATTCTATATCCCTTACTTTGTTCACTATAGCCCACCAGAATACCTTCAATGGCTGTGTTCTCCAATTTGGATTGCTTCCCTTTGCTAAGCTTTACATCCAAACACTTTAATGTGCCCTCGTCTAGGCTTTGATCCTCTGCATTCTTTGTTTTGCTTTGTGCTCTCATGCACCTTAAGGGCTTTCTCGTTTTCTTCATTGTGCATATTTTCTTTCCTTCTGTCATATTCATCGATATATTTTCCTTTAATGTATTCTACTGTTAGATCCTGCTCAGGTCTGGTTTCTAGGGCGTTAATAAGAGCTCTGTATGACTCTGGAAGGCTGCATAGCAGTAATGGCATCATGTGGTTATCTTTATTTTCCTCTCGAATTGCACGTAGCTGTTCTATGATTTCCAGCATGGCATTCGCATGTCCACATTTCCAGGCCTTGTTCTAGCCTCATCTTATATAGCTTGCATAGCAGATATAGTTTACTGTTCAGGTTTGAACGCTCAAGCAGGTTCTGTAATGCAGTCCACATACCTTTAGCTGTATTTTCTTTTCTTATGTGGATAAGCTGGTTGTCTTCCACTAGCAGACTTATAATTGCTTTTGCTTGCCTGTTCTTCTTTTCCTGTTTCCTCTGCGGGTCCATTAGTGGGTCTGTCTGTACTCAATACTTGCCACACGTTATCTTTGCTTAGCAGCACTTCAAGCTTGAACTTCCATAGCCAGTAGTTGCTATTGTTGAACTTTGCGATTGCAAAATATCTGAACTACTTGCCATTTTTCAGTAGCTTGGATGCGACTCTTTTTAACTTGCAGTGTCCTGCTCAGTGTCTGGGCCCATAACCTGTTAGTTATGTGTTTAGATGAAGCACTGAGATCTTGAGGAATGTTATAATAAGTTTTCCTTGCTTATAAGGACATTACATCAGAATACAGCATTATAGAAGGAAAAAAAATACATACAGATAGAATGTCTTGTATATCATAGGCAAGTATACATAAGCAAAGAGACCAACACTGCCCCACGGAGCTACCTACAGCTCAAAAGACAATATTACATAAGCTATTGTATTTCCAACACTAAACAGAAGGTTTATGGTACAAGATCTGCAGTTCACAAGAGACAGACTGATCACCTACAAGGCAATAAAACTTTAATAGGTAAAGACTGGGGTACTTCTGTCTCATCAACAGATCTCCTGCATTGAAGCAGGTGCACAGAGCAAGAGTCAGGAGGTGTGGGCATGCCACTGTTTAGAGTATGATGAAAGAGTTGCCTTCCCTCAAACAACAAGTGAATTGGACATTGTTTAAACATATGCCAGGCACATCTATCAGGGGTGTGGACACTTTTTTTAAAAACTTATTGTCCAAGCACTAAAGCAGGGGCCCGATATACATGTCCTATATAACAATCTACTTGTCCTGATAAAAAAATAATTTTAACCAAAACAGTATTTAGCAGTGCTAAGAAGTTTTTCTCATTGGTCAGCGCCGTCAGGTGACGGTGCTGACCAACGAGCACTCGCAATTTGCACACACGAAATTCAGAATACATGGCACAGGGCTGCACCGGACAGCAGTATGGGGTAGAGATAGTACAACCATACTGGCGGACAGGAGAGACCGTTCACCAAAAGGTAAGTATAGCATAGGGGGCCAGATTTGAGTGGGTAAATTTACCTTTTAATGTGCATTGTGTGTTAGAGAGTGCTCCTGCGCAGCTAACACAATATGGCACACAGTGAATGGGCGCAGTGCACACAGACAAATCCCTATGCATGTGTTTATTCGCAAGCAGATTTTTTAAATTTGCTAAATTTCTATTTATCTTATTATCATTTGCTTTATTTTTATTTTTTATTTATTTAATTTATTTTTTACATTTAATTTATTACGTTTTACATTTTCATAATTTTTTTTAACTTTAAAAAAAAAAAACTTTATTGCTATCACACAGAAGCTAAGAAGCCCGTGTGATAACATTTGGAGGCGACAGGTTCCCTTTATTGAACCTGTCACCTCCAATACAGGAGTAGCACTGTGCTCATTCTCCTGTGACAGGAAGGCTGTGAGTGCAGCATTCCTTTGTCAGTGCTCACACAGAGCAGAGTGGAGAATGGATGTTCTCCGATCTGCTCCCTGCTTGTAATTTACTGTGGCCCCGGGTCCCCAGAAGAGCGGGGACCCCAAAAACCACAGCAAGGAGGGAGGCAGCAGGCGGTGACAGAGGCAGAGTATGATGACAGAGACGGAGAGCGGTGATAGATAGTGAGCAGGAAGAGTGGCAGTGGCCGAGGAGAGAGGCGGTGTTCGGGAGGGACGGACCATGGAGGGGGAAGCGGGGAAGTAACAATAGGGCTGCTTTCAAGTGATCTTGGGTGGCTATACAGCCGCTCAAGATCACCTGTA